TGTGAGCCAATGAATATTATCGATACAGTGACTAAGAAGCAAAGGTAATCTTGCATCGCCACTGTAACGGGGGGGGGGGGGGGGGGTCTTGGCCCCCGCCACAGTGCATATGCGTTATCCCGAGATTGTTTCTGACCCGTGCGACTACTGAATGAAAAATAACTCACCGTTGATGTCAGATGGGGTCTTCGAGTTACTGTTGAGAGATGAATTGTTGTTAGTCGTGGACTGTTTGCATTTTGGATTATTGGTGCTTTGGTTGTTGTAGGAATCTGCAACGACAAAAAGATTAGCTTTTGAGCCAATGAATATTACCGATACAATGACTGAGAAGCATACGTAATGATGCTTATTCGCTGGAAGTGTGGGTCGTCGGCGACGCGGCAATGCATCTAAGGGTATGAGTATGGGTGTGGATGTGGGTGTGGGTATGGGTTTGGGGGCTGGTTTCGGTATGGGTGCATGGTGTGGTGTATGTGTATGTGGGTGTCGATGTGGTGTGTGTGGTTTTGAAAATATCGTTATAACCATGCTCACATACTGACACCCACATCCGCCCCCAACTATCTGAGCTGTGTCTTGCATGTAGGTACGTTTGTTAAAAGACAACTCGCTGTATGTGGAGCTCGGGACAGCGTTCGAAATTTGGATTGGCTGATTCCGTGGAGTTTTGTAAATTGGTTCATATTCGTTGTTCTGGATAACGAGAAGCAACGATGTTCGAAGGAATGATGAGGAGTAGCATTTTCTGGTCGTCCTCAGGGCGGCATTAGGAACTGTGGAATAATGTGTGGCAGAAGATGGTGAAAGTCGAGTCTCCTTTGACGTGAGACTATCTCAGGTGACTCTTGCATGTGCGTACCTATCTGCGAACAGAGGAGGGAGTGGATTGGTGTCTTCCTGGATTTTGGCATTACGTATGTGTCGTTCGTTTTAGAGTCGTACGTGGATTGATGTGTGTTTTGATCTGTAACGAGAAAGGAGGAAGTTGCAAAGAATTATGTATTTCGAATTTTCTGGTGCTTGTCCACTCTGTAGTAGAGATTGTGTAATCGTATGTGCGGGAAGATGTTTAGAGTTGAGAAGCGTTTTCAGTGGCAGTTATCTTTATTGATTCTTTCATGGGGTAGCAATACTGTCGGGAGATGTGACACTCTATGGCGATGTTTGGTGGTATTGGCGTCGGAAGAAAGTTCTTTCATTTTTGTAATGACGGAGCGTAGCTGTATCATAGAATATTTGTAAAGAAAAATGGAATCGAGAACAAATATTGCTTTTTATAGGCTCGTGCTGTGAATTAGGATGGGATGGGCGGAAGTTTGTGTTACAGAGTTCTTTTACTGTTGATTTGTCTATGGGTGCGACCACTGATCGTGCATTTGAAGGAAGATATGTTTATTGAATGAGAGCGGAGATTGTATTTGTTTCGTCTAAGGCATTGGGATGGATGTATTCTCCTGTATTTTCTAGTGTTAGAGGGGTACATGAGCCACATGACATAAAATGAAATAGCGGAAGTGTTTATGTATGATCATGTGCAGCATGTTTGCTTTTTCAGTAAGTGCAGACGAATCGGATGAATGGTGTGCACGGATGTAGCTGTGTGGTTTGTGTGTGGTCTCGGTTGAGATATGTAAAGTGATGGTTGGCTGAACTTATGTTGGTAGGAGAGGGTTGGTGAGAATATCGAATTTGTTTCCGTAGACAGCGGCTGTGCTGAACGTTTATCTGTCGCAGAGCAGTTGAACGGGACATTTGCTGAAGCATCTACAATGAGAAAGATTGCAATGTTGATAGATGTTGTTGTGCGGCATTTGCTGGTTGAAGGTTAGTACAGGAGCCTTTAGAGTTTCGCGTAGCATAGGATTTACCTATTTGATACTTTTTTCATATTTTTCTGTGGGAGGTGAGTGTTAGTTAAAGGTAGTGTGTTTGAAAATGAGGGGAGGCTGTTTCAGCTTCTGGATAGGTCTCGGATGTTCTGAAATTTTGCAGGTTTTGAGAATGGTAGAGTGATTCATGGGAGACTTTGCCACGAAGGAGAAACGGAGAAATTGGAAGCAGCTAGGCTAGGTGTGATGCTCATGTTTGAAATGAAAGGAGCGTAGAATTTCTGTGGATACGTGTCGCAGCATAGTGGTGTGTTTCGTCGGTCTTGTGTTTGAGTGTTTGTCAATTAAATATAGAGCGGCTGGAATATACACAACGGGTGGATATTGTTCAGCAGATTGCTAGTAGTAAATATTGCTGTATCTGGAAATTCTGGAGGGAGTGTTTCACCGGTGAGGTGCAGTTTGAAAAAGATTCTTTACACTATCACGTTTGGTATCGGGTGGAATGCGGAGTATGCAAAGGGTCTTAGAGTGTAGTATGCATATGTTCGGTTCATGTGGTCTGTGAAAATATGCAAAGTTATTTTTTGATAGACTTACACTGATTTCAAGGAGTTTGGGTGTGTTCATTGCTTTCTCAGAAGATTTTGTTTGTTGTTGGCTTGTGGTTATTGAATTTCAGTTGTGCAGGTGGCTTTTGTGATTCTTGCATTACATATATTGAAGTGCAGTAGAGTTGAGAGATTGTTTAGCAAAGAGGAGCTGCGTAACTACCGCAGGCATGACTTCTGAAGAGTTATTTTGAATGATTATCTTTTCATGGCTCATCGAGTTTTCAATGGTGAAAGTAGTTCGTGGAAGAGTGAGAGCGTTCCAAACGCATGTGTGCGTTTGTGATTTTGGGACAAAGTGTTAATGCCGTAGAGCAGATGATTTTTGTTGCGGCGTGAATAGGGTATGAGTATGGAATATTTATCGTTGTTTGTGTGCTTATGCTTGCTGGCGTAGGTATGTGGCACTATCATAGGGAAACTCACACGTTTATGAGTGGTATGTTCATAACTACAGCTTCGTGTTAGGTTTTTTCGTCTTATTCGTTTTCCATTGTGCAGCAAATTACTTAATTATTGCCAGAGTAATCTGTCGCTGAACTATGAATCAATGGAATTTGAAGAATGAATTACAATGGAAATATCGAAGAAAACTAATTGATTATCATCTAAACATGCTTTTGATCGCCTAATTCTTCTTAGTTTTGTGACGCTGATGAAACTATAGTTTAACTAAGATTATATAGCTGAGTGAGATATGCTATGCAATCGGAGTGCGATTTTTCACGTAATTATAGCCTCTAATTAGTGAAACAAAAGTTAGCTACCGATTTCGATTATCGTATAGAAGTCAAGTTAAAGTTTCTCAAATAAGAAGAGACGGTCTCCTATTTTCCAACTTTCAAAGTAAGAAGAAAAACAAAAGCAACAAACAATACCTTCACGGCGTGCGTTACTCATGAAAACTTAAAATGATCGACGTTACCTAAAGTAAGCAGAACGGTAAGTGTCGGTTGTGTTTTAAATTGCAATTCTTTACAGCCTGAGCTGAAAATATTTGCTTCTTCGAATATATAAAGACGACGCACTCATAGCCATAAAATGTAACGTGTTCGTTTTTTTCTTTCTGAATGCAAGAAGAAAAAACGACTACCTTTCTGCTTTCTTTTATTCTCTCGCAAGTATCACAAACAATGTAAATATGGCTTACAATCGAAACAACGGAACTTTCGGTGTGAAAATGACTACAAATCTCATAGTTTATGCGCTAAAAAGGATGATGACCACAAGCAATTGAATATAATTATTTCTAATACTCCTAGTGAAGTCATTTCAAACGATCATTGCAGCGTCCAGTTAGTAGATTTACTATATTATCTCTTTCAGGAATTTTGCTAGAAGAATGTCATTGAACACTGTTTATAGATGTGAGCAAATGTGGAGTCAGTAGCGAAGCCAAATAGAAAGGTGAAACAGTATTTATTTATTTACAATCGTTTTTCTTTTGTAGAATGTCTTTTGTTGCAGGAACACTGGAGAATCTCTATGGAATTAAACGCTTGCAATCATAGACAGCTAGGATGAATAAATAAAAAGAAATACGACACTAATAAATGGTGTAGTTAACTCTTAAAGAATATGGAAAGAAAATGTAATTTGCGTAACACAGGAGTCTATGGCAAATTATTCTCATTTATGTCATTTAATCAAGACACGGTGAGAATTTTTCTATCGCATTGTGTCTGGAGCATGTTAATTTTTTCCTTCACACACACCTACATGCCACAAATCATTATCAATACCAAGAGTATCCTTTGATTTATTTACATTAAAACAAATTATGTTGTCTTTTGCATTTCAGTCAAATGATTTCGATAAATTTGAAGACATGGATGATTGTCAGGCAGAGCTTGTTGTCCAGTTTCAACAGTGCATTTGTAAAATATGAGTGCAATAGAATTCTGTCCCATTTTGCAATAAACTTCTCCAATGTTATTATAAGTAGCAGCGAAATCTGGATGACTAGCTGGAAGACATTGTCGTCGAATTTCAAACGATTTTTCATGAAATTCGAGTGCATTCGAGTATTGTTTCAAGTTCTCGTAGACTACAATAATATTGTGATAGGTTGTTGCTACTGCTGGATGATGTAGACGAAGAGATTGTTGTTGAATTTCCAGTGACTTTTGATAGAATTCGAGTGCTTTTGAATAATCTCTCATTTTAACATAGATTTCACCAATATTATTATAGATAGCGCCAAAATCTGGATGATTCGGTAGAAGAGATTTCTGTTGAATTTCAAGGGATTTTTGATGAAATTCAAGCGCTTTCAAGTATTCGCCTATGTTAGCATAGACTTCTCCAAGATTATTATAAGTAGCAGCCAATTCAGGATGATTTTCAGGAAGAGTCTTTTGTCGAATTTCAAGAGACTTCTGCTAGAATTCAAGGGCTTTCGAGTACTCACCCATGTCGTCATGTACCGCAGCGATGTTATGGTAAGTAGTAGCAAGTTCTTGATGATTTGAAGGAAGGGAGTTTTGTTGGATTTCCTGTGACTTTTGATAACATTCTAGTGCTTTTGAATATTGACCCATATTAGCATACACTTTTCCTATATTATTATAAGTAGCACCTAACGCTGGGTGATTTGGTGAGAGACATTTCAATTGCATTTCTAATGATTTCTGGTGAAACTCGAGTACCTTTAAGTAATCTCCTGTATTTTCATACACTTCACCAATGTTATCATAGGTAGAAGCTAATTCAGGGTGATCTGAAGGAAGAGATTTTCGTCGAACTGCAAGTGATTTCTGATAGAACTGAAGAGCTTTTGAATATTCACCCATACCATCATATACTGCAGCCATGTTATGATATGTAATGACAAGTGCTGAATGATTGGAAGGAAGAGACTTCTGTTGAATTTCCTGTGACTTCTGATACCATTCTAGTGCTTTTGAATATTGACCCATGCTCGCATAAACCTCTCTGATATTATTATAAGTAGCACTCAAATCTGGATGAATAGGTGTGAAGCATTTCTGTTGTATTTCTAATGATTTTTTGTGAAATTCAAGTGTACTTGAATAATCTCTCATGTTCTCATAGACTTCCCCAATGTTATCATAGGTAGCACCTAATATAGGATTATCCAATGGAAGATATTTTTGTGCATTTTCAAGTGACTGTCGATAAAATTCTAAAGCTTTCGAGTATTCTCCCATATTAGCATAAACATCGCCAATATCATTGTAGGTAGCAGTGAAATTCTGATGATTCGGTAAAAGTGATTTTTTTTGGATTTCGAGCTGTTTTTTATAATATTCGAGTGCTACTTGATATTGGCCTTTGATATTTTTTATGTTTCCAAGTTGATTATATAGATATGCAACATTTTCGACATCGTCGTTATTTGTTTCTTCTCTTAATTTCTTAAATGCTTCTTCGGCATCTTCAAAATTGCCCAATCGTAATAATAATTCGCCAAGTCGATGGCATCCAGTGGATGCTTGTATTTCTTGTTCTATGTGCTCTGTAAGTAGTTGTAGTTCTTCATCGTTATCACTTGTTAATGTGAGCTCTGTACGCCATAGTCGATCTTCTATTTGACCGATTTCACATATACGAAAAACAGCATGCACTGAAAATAAAATTTCTTCCTCACTAGAAAAGGCACTGATGTCACTTACTGAAGCGAATGGAGTCGATGGAATAGAAGGAGTAATTGGCATCTCGAAAAGTATGCCGACTAAATCAGGTTTCTGCAAAGAGTTTGTAGTAAATGTTGATGACACTTTTCTATCCAGGCTGGTCGACAAAAAATTGTTAAATGCCAACAGAAGACCTTTGCTCTTCTTTATTCTGGCGAAATCTTCAAATAACATGCCTTGACCACGATAAATAATAACTGAGTCTTCATAAATTGTTCGACAATGAATTTCTTGAATATAAAGATGAACGTCGCGTATAAAATAACTCATCTTGATAATAATTTCTAGGTCTTGTATTCTTAGAGCACGATTAAGCATCTTATAGATAAAACATTCACGTGTATACCACCAGATAGGTGTATCCGCCCCACAATCGTGCTCAAACTCATCGATGATTTGCAATGCATAAGAATTGTCACGATACTGTTTTCGACAAAAGTCAAGAAATTCTTTCTTGACATCATTATCGTACTCCATTTCAAGAAATAATTTTTTAAGTAGTTGAGTATAGGGTGTGGGTGGGCTGTGGGCGTGGGTGTGGGTGTAAAGGTGTGGGTGTGGGTGCGGGTGGGTATGGGTCTGTGTGGGCGTGAGCGTGTGGGGGTGGGTGTCTGTGTGGGTGTAAGGATGAGAGTGTGAGTGTATGTATATCTTCAACTACACCCACATTCATACTCATACACCCACACCCATAGTGTTTGTATTTTTCTTACCAACACCGACCCACACCCACACCCATAGTGTTTGTATTTTTCTTACCAACACCGACCCACACCCACACCCACACCCATAGTGTTTGTATTTTTCTTACCCACACCGATTCACACCCACACCCACACCCACACATCCCACACCCACACCGTTCTAAATAAGTACTTAGATTAGATTATTATAGGAGACAATTTAATAAAATAAAGTTATCTCGATTCTGAACATGCATGTGTCTCAAGATGTTTTGGTATTGGGCAATAAGTATCTTCTCAGAAAATTATTGGGCAACTGCCCAATGGCCACTCCCTGGCTACGCCACTGGTCTCACCAAAGTACAAACGATCAAAACATCGATCGTTTGATATTTTGCTATTTTTACGATGTTTGAATTCGATTACTCGACAAGAATGCTCAATTTGGAAACATCCGAGAAGTTCAACATGTTTCGAGTACGACATGCCACTATTCAATGAAGATGTTTTCCGTGAAGTTTACTTGTTACGGGAGAAGCTCCTGCTCGACGATTGTTATCTTTTACTCGAACATTGGTTTGATGAATGGATCAATGTCGATTCTTGATCTGTTCGATTGTTCGATTACACCTTTTTTCGTTCAGTCGACTTTGAATCATTTTCCAGCCTTTTCGATTTCGATGATTATTCAATTCCTTTGCAATTGACTCCTCCTTCCGCAAATTGAGTAGCAGACTCGTCTCCGACTCTGACCAAACAGTTCGTTTATTGTCAATAGTAGTCGTGTTATTGTTGCTAGTTATTTTGATGTTGTTCTTGTCCGAAGACAATTCCATATTTAAAAAAAAATTGGAAAACAATTTATATAAACCTTTCAATTGAGGTTATTTAAGGAGATAGGCGACAACAATTGTCTATAACAGCTAAAAATCGAGTAAATGAGACAAAAAATGTTCTTTTCACAGAACAATTGCTTTAAGAAAGAGCGAGAGTTGTTGTTTGAAACAAAAAACTCGAATCCAATCAGATCATGAGCATCCCTTCTGATTACAAATACTATGAGCGACGCGTTTAGATGGCAATCGTGCACACATATGCATACATAGTGCTATGTATGCACAGAGTTGTGCACGTTTAATACATGCATAACTTTAATCATGCACAAGGCATTATTCATGATTAAGCGCGGATTTAGATGACGAGTTATGCATGCATAGCAATGCATGATCGCCTTAATCATGCATAAGAGCGCCGTATAAACATAGTGTAACTCTTATATTCTAGACACTATGAGATGAGATATAGAAGTACTTCTTTGTTACCTAAATCCCGTGATACTAAATTCATCATATCGAAGTATCTCTTTATGAGAGCTAACTGTAGGCAAAGCTATGTGCTTTTTACTCATAATGAGACCCTGGTTGTTGTTTTTAATCTCGATCATACACTGATCGGTATTTATTTTCAAGCTCTGTTTAAAACTGCTACACATCATCCTAAATAGATGCCGATATCATCATTCATTATGGTTCATATCATTTTGACTCTGAAACTATTCATAAAAGTATACTATCTTCTATGGTATATATATCTATCATTTCCATCAATGAATAGTTAGCACTACAGTACTAAAATCTCCTTTGAATAATACTCGCTCTTTTTTCTGAGAGAAATTAGTTTTTCGAGAGAATTATTTTATTTGAATATATACATGCTTGTCTAAAGATACAAATGAATTTGAATAAACTGAAAAATGAAAATTACAAAACCAAATATAAACATGACTGTCTATTGTTGTGGAAGATAGTGATTTTACTGTATGATTCGGGGGTATTGTTGCTGTTGTCCACTTGTAGCTTGACCCGCTTGCTGATGTTGCTGTGCACAACCGGTTTGATCATCTTGTTGTGGTTGTTGTTGATTTTGCTGGCGATTGGCAGCTTGATCCTGTTGTTGT